TAATCAGGTACTCAACAATGCCTTCCCACTGAAGACAATGAGGTTTTGAAGTGTTTAATGCTGGCTGAATATGCTCTTACTCTGTTTGCTCTGTTATTTTGAACTGATTTGCTGATGTATAAATAAAATAGGCCACAACTACTTTGTTCACTTTGTTACAATTATACTGTAAACTGTTTTGCTAACACCGTTTCCTATGCATTCTTATGAAAGAAAAAATATACCAAATCACATAACAACACATGTTTGATAACATAATTTCTGTTTGTCAGATACAGACACTGAAGAAAATCGGTGATTTTCCCATCCCTTTCTTTAAATCTCTGACAGAAATGTGGCAGCCCTTCCAAGCAAGATAAATGGACTATGGCCCTGCAACTCTGCATTGGGCATCTAAGCAGTTGGCATACCAGATTATTATTCCTTTCCACAAACACAAAGAATGAGGCCATCTCCCCACCCCCCATCCCGAGCACGAGTGTAGCCATCTCTCCGCCCACCCCAGCACAACCACGATCAAACCTGTGATCCCTGCACGCGCCTGTCATCCCGGCACACTGGGGGGTGGGAGAGACGGGCATGAACAGGGCACACTGGGGGGGAGAGACGGACGCGATTGTGCTGGGGGGGAGATGGCCGAGATCGCACCCATCTTTCCTGCAGAAGTGCCATCTCCCCCCGCACCCCCAGCACAATCATGGTCATCTCCCCACTCGGGGGGGGGGTGAGAGATGACTGCAATCATGGTCGCCACCCAATGCGGTGTTCACGACCTGAGTTAAAATTTTTATGAAATTTTTGTTTGCGACCCGATTTGGTCATGAACCGAAGCGTTCGTAAGCCGAGGTACCACTGTACACTAATTCTATGGAGCACCATTCCTCCTGTCAATTACCTCCTCTCCTGCATGGAAACTTATTACATTTACTCCAGCCAGAGTTAACTGTCTGCAGCTAATTAGCTACAGGTGTGCACCTGTTTCCAACACACTGGATACTCTGATGCTAACTGCCAAGGATCTTAATCCTACAACAGTCTGCCTGATTGATGAAGAAACTGGAGCAGACACATGGGCTGTATACTTCTTGCCCAGACACAATTTTTTTACACAACAGCAGAATTGTTAACAAACTCTGCTTTGTGAATCATTTTTATAGCTACTTACCAATGAAACAACAGGAAAATAATTATATTTTGCATTCCACTGCATTATTAAAAAACAATTGGCCAGCGAGGTGTCATGTTTAGAGTGACAGACTGGGGAGACCCAGGTTCAAATCCCCATTCAGCCATGAAGCTCACTGGGTGACTTTGGGCCAGCACTATCTCTCATCCAAATCTACCTTCACAAAATTGTTGTGAAGGCAACATGGAGATAAGGTTCATGTGTGCCACCTTTAACTTCTTCAAGAAAATGGTGGGATATACATGCAACTAGCAAAAATAAATATATACAAACCTTAAACAGTAGTATGGTCAAATAACATTAGAGCTAGTAGTATGTAATATGATGATAAGAGAGTGCCAGACTTAACCTGGGAAGACAAGATTCAAATACCTGCCCAGCTGCAGAGCTCACTAGAGCCACTTACTTACCTCCCTTATAAGTGAGACTCATAAATTATCTGGGAGACTCTCTTCTCCCATGTAGGCAACCCTGTCTCTTCATTCTGAGGGGAAGGGCTTGCTCACCATACTGTGATTTATGCCTGAGGTTCATTCAGGTATAGTGCCAGAAATGGGCCATCTCAGCTGTTTTGTCAATCACATGAAATAGTCCCCCATGGTAACCAGGTGGGTTCTGAGTGTGGAGTTCTTCTGCCAACAACTGAAGGTACACTTGTTTGCTCAGGCATTCCCTGACTGCTAGCAGGGATTATTTTATGAGATTGATTTTATAAGATTTATTGTTTGCATCATGACTTTGTTTTAAACACTGGTTTTATTAACTTTTATCATGAACATATCTTGCAAATCATTTTGGGATTTTTTAAAAGAAAAGCAATAGAGAAAGAATGGACAGAGACAATACAAATTCTGAAACTGGGGAATATGGAAATAAACTCCTCCAGGTCAGAAAAAGCACAGTGGTTTGAAAAGAGATATAAACTGGCATTATAAAAAAAAAACAGGTATTAAAACACAGATAATCACTGAGAGTCAGTGTGGTGCAGTGTTTAAGTGCACAGGACTGGGACTCAGGTGAACTGAGTTCAAGTTCCACTTGTTCATGGAGTCAACTGGGTGACTTTGGGCCAGTCATGAACTCTCAGTCCAACCTACTTCACAGGGTTGTTGCTGAATTTAGGAAGATAAAGGGTTTGGTAGAATAGCAGTATTTAAAATGAAAATCTTACCTAAGATAAAAATTTCTTGTTTATGATGTTACCAATTAAAATAATAAAGATATGAAAGAATGGCAAGGTATGGTATACAGGTTTTCTCACAAAGATTTTAAAAAAGCAAGGATGAATAGGAAAACATGGTATAAATCGTAAAAGACTGTGTAGCTAATCAAGTGAGGCATATACCTTATATTATACTAAAACCAGATAAAATAATATGGGTAAAACTAGAATTTCATCAATTTGAAAGATCTTTTTTGAATATTTTTAAAACATAGTAAAAATATCCTTTCCATAATACTTTCATACAAAAAATATCCTTTCCATAAGAATCCTTTCCATAATACTATCATACAACTTTTGGAGTAAGTATAAAAGCTTATGCCATCAATCTCACCATTATATCCAATTATAGAATCAGAAGGATTTTCAGTAAACTGGAGAGAAAGTTTGAGAAAAAATTAAAGATAAAACAAATTATTAAGTTAAAAGATGGGTTAGAGAAGATGAAGAGAAAGGATAAGATAAAAGCAGCATTAGTAGGGAAAAATAACTTGGTTTTATGTGACTCAGTTGGATTTTGGACTAAAGATTGGTTAAAGAAAAAAGGTGGCTGCAGAGATTATACTACATTTGATGATATGATAGTGGAAGAGGAAAAACAAAATAATATGCAGATAAAAGGGATAATAAGTAAAATTCATAAGATAGTTGAGGAAGAGATTCAATATGATCCTCTTAAACAACATTGGAAACAGATTTAATAAGAAATATTAGCAATAAATATTGGAAATATGTGGAATAAGAGAACAATAAAATGTATGTCATAAATTTTAAAAAAATGAACTAGTATGGAAATGGTACCTAATTCTGGTAAAATTGAATTATATGGATAGCAAATATTTTAACTTGTTGGAGGTGTGGATAGGGAGTGGGTACATACTTCCTTAAGTGATGGGCATTTGAATATGTAATGAAATTTTGGAAACAGGTTTTGAAAGAAAGTAGTAAAATACCGAGGTTAAGTATTGAAGTAAATCCTGGAATCACATTATTGTCAATAATTGTTAGAAGACAATGGAGATGGAACATTAAAGAATAACAAATTTATTAAAAGCTGAGAAATTAATTATACCAAAGAATTGGAAAGTAAAACATGATAATTGATTGATGGCTACAGAAAAGTTTGGAATATAGCTATTAAAGATAAATTAACTTGTGAATGAATAACTTTATTAAGTCTTCCGACCATGAGTATGTGCTAATAAAAGAGAAAGGATCTGAATCATCAAAAGATTCACTGCAATTTTGGAAGGGAGATGGACCTTTTTGAAAGAGCAAATGGTTTAGCATGTATCCAATGGCCCCAGTGGTGGGAGGCACCATTTTGATATATTATAACATATTTGTATTTGGATGTTTTTCTTTTAAGATATATTTTAATTTCTTTGCATAAAATTTAATAATTAGAAAAAAGAAAAACAAAAGTGTGGGACTAGGGCTCGGGAAATCTGGGTTCTAGTTCCTGCTTGGTCATAGAGTCAACTGGGTGACTTGGGCCAGTCACAGACTCTCAGTCCAACCTACCTCACAGGGTTGTTGTGGGTACAAGACTAAGTACAGAAGGGGGAAAAAGATGTAACCCACTTTGCATTTGTTATAAGAAAAAAGTGGGATATAAATGGGCTTCCACGGGAGGTGGTTGAGGTCCCATTGGTGAGGGTGTTCAAAGATAGGCTGGACATGAACATGGTGAGCATGGCGTAAGCGGAGCCGGCTGGAGCCAGGGGTCAGACTAGATGGCCCAGGAGTCCCCTTCTGACTTGCTCTGTTTCTATATCTAATGAAGAAATAGAGGTGTTCATGCTTCAGTCCCACTGGAAATCAGTGCAACTTAATTTCCTCGTGATTAACTTCATCCCACTGAATTCAGTATGGCTAGAACATGACTACTTTACTTCCCACTCTGTAAATATAAGCTGCATATTCAACATCTAAGTGGTTCAGTATTTGGGATATGTTTTCCTTACTCTTGCTTTGGGGATAAAGACTTAAAAGGAATCCAACTAATTTTAGTCTTTACTAGTAAAAGGCTAAAATGCATGGAGTTTCGAATAACATGGAGGTTCACTTTTCTTGAGAAGAAACAAAAATCAAATGGCAGCTTTCACTTAGTATTCTGGTTTGCTTTAGGGCAGAGATAGACACCCTATTTTCAGAGGTTGCAATATTACAATATTCAGAGATTGTAATATTTTTACCCCTCCTATCTGGAGAGGCTATAACATAATGCTGACATTGCATAGCTGACAGATCTTCACTAGATCATCCTTCTGTATAGACTTCATTATTACCAAAAAGAGTTATGTCTCAACACATCTGAATGGGATAAGCTTAGGGAAAGTAGGTCCCTAAGCTTAGGGAAACTCACTACTTTGTTAATTTCTCTCTTAAGTTTACTGTGCAATACTAAATGCATCATTTTTCCTTTTTTGTTTGCCCTTACATGTGCCTAAGTTTTGTTGACATGTTTAAACAGACATGTTTCACTAACAGAAGAATACAAGCTCTTGCATTTTAAGGAATGTTCCAGCAAGCAACCAGACTTTATTTTATATTGCAGTGGCACCACCTCATGGACAGTTTAGTACTTACATCTAGGTCCTGTTCACTTGCTCTTGTGGATTTTAAAGGTTCTTCGCTGCTGCAAACTCCATCCATCCTTGGGGTCGAATGTTCTTCTGCCTGCAACACAAATAAGTATGCTACATAACCTCTAAAAAAGAAAAACCCCTCTACATTCCACATCAGCTATGAAAAATGATGACAGGACAGACTATTAAAACACTGTGGGTGAGAAGCCAAGCATCAATAAAATAGTCATTTGTTTAGCATTTTGGAAAGCTGCCACAGTGGTGTTGATACAAAAAAAATCTAGGACGGACAGAGGAAACTAACATGGGCAAAGGGTAGAGAGGAATGCAATAGTATTTTAACATAAATCGATCAGACAGTGAGTTTATTAACTCATGAAGCAGAACACCAGGGCATACAACAACTTTTCTCAAAATTAGAAGTAAATCTCTAAAGTAGTTATGTAGAAAATTTATCACACTTAAGGAACATAAGCATATCAGCTGCACATATGCCAATACAGCATAACGGGACACAATAGAAAGTCTCCTGGAAAGGGCAGGTAGTTTTCCCATCCCAAGAGAAGCATGTTTATTTACAGAAGATAGCGGATAAGCCACACTTAATCGTCCTAGGTGTGGAGGAGGAGACAGGGTGTATTTATTCATTGCATTTTTACAGTGTCAAATAACCAGGGGGATGAAGTTTGCAAAATATAGCTCTTTATTAGTGTCAGAAGCATCACAATTAAAATAATACATATTATAAAACATGTTGGACCCAATGGCCTTCATGGCATTTCAGAACAGAAGAAAAAACAAAAGCAGGGAAGCACCAAATGATTTGTGATCAGGAGACGGGGACACTCACTGGGGGAAACCTGGAGGACAGACTGGGACCACAGGTGAGTTGGATTTTGCCAGTAAGCCCAAGGTTCCCCACCCTCACTGTCAGGTGAAGTGCTGCCATTTAGAATAACCTTTCTATCCAAGAATGCCTCTGGCTTGTACTGTCGGGTGACTGCAGTGCTTCGTTCTGAAGTGTTCTAAGCGACCCAAAAGAAAAGAAAAAAGTAAGCTGATGGATAGTGGGGAATATCTTACTTGTAGGGAGGGCACAAGCAAGGAGAGGCTAAATGTGTTGCAAGTGCTTCGTGTCTGAAAGAGACACTTTACTTATCTAGTTTGCCTACCATGAAATGGGTATGGCAGCAGAAAACAGCAGGCTCCAAAGAGAGGTTTTATGTTTTGAAATTCAGACACTACTACCTCTGCCTGGTGCTTAGGAACTCATGCAGATTACTTCTCCTTTAGTCTCAGAAGTCTTGACTTCTTGGAAACTGGTGCTTTGTAACTTCTGACACTCACCATAGCAGTCATTTTGTTAACAACAAAGGCCCCCTCCATGGCAACCATATTGTGAGGGTACCCATGACACTTCAACATTCTAAATGGCTCGTAAGGATTCATTCTCCTTTCGTCATAAAGTAAAGCTACACAATTTGGCTTGTATTTGTTTTTTAACCTAGCACTTCATCTAAAATTAACTCCAGTTTAGTTTATATATCTTATTTCATTCTTTCCTGTGATCCACTGATTAAAGGAGCTTGATTGTGTTCCAAAACAGAGGAATCTAACATTTGTTGTCCCAGAACACTAGGAGCAGCTTGCACTCCAGCTGTCATCATCACATAACCTGCATTCCTACAGTCCACTTTATCTTGGGATCCTGGACAGTAGTCATTGTGACTTCACCATTAAGTCAGGTGTCCTCCCAACACTCACGGCCAAACTTTTTTTTTAACTCCTTATTTGGTGAAGAGATCTGGAGATCTCAAAAGTTCACAGTTTTTGTAAACTTTTGACTGGCCTAATCAAGGTAATATATTCATATGCATTTGGGGGGGATGTTTCTTAAGGTCAATGTAATTACCCCAGGTTGCTTTCCCCTCCCTAGTTTATACATGTTTGGGATAATGGAATTTGACAGGCTAATGTTATCCAGTCGCTATGCACATTTGACACAATTCATGAGAATATATGTACATAATCTGCCTACACAGAGGGAATTGCACATACTTCCAAGCTATTAAACATACATTCCAACAGGTTTTTATGGAAATGTCTGTATCTCAGCTGCATTTGGTACATTCTTTGGGAAATATGCATGTTCTCCAAAACCAAACAGTGCCTTTGGTTTCTATCTTTCACCTAATGCCCCTGCTGCTATTCTACTTTGTAAAAAACTTAGCAGCAGAGCTTGCAGATGGGATTGCATGAGAGAGAACAGCTGAAGAGTGGGGAAAAAGAGGTGTGAGCATTACTGATCAGCTGAGCCATGGGTCCTCAACCTACAGCCTGCCATGCTCATTTATCCAGCCTACCTGAGGTTTTAGACTTGCCGCACACGCTGGTGCACGCCACTGCCTCATCTCGTGTGCGGGGAGGCAGCGACTTGCTCACCCGGAGATCGTTTTGGACTCGCTCAGAGAAAACGATCTCCAAGCGAGCAAACTGCTGCCTCGCACGCCTGGCGCTGCCTCGCCTCATCTCACCTCCCCTTGCCGTGCCCCCCCCGCGCCGGCCCGTGCCCACTATCAGCACCTTTCAACTGGTCCCTGTTAAAAAGTTTGAGGACTCCTGAGCTGATCAGTGAGACCTTTTTTCTTACTATTTAACCATTTTCTCATTGCTCAAATCTGAGAATGAACAGATGGCAGGTGAGGCAAGTGTGTGAGTCCTTTTTCATACACATACAACTACCATGCACACATAAATGCAGAGACAAATGCATATTCTCTTTGTCACACACATTCACACACATATATCCATTCACATGGATGAGGCACTGTGAACTGACTGTTCAGCTCTGTACACAGGTGTATCATGATCTCTGTGAGGGAAATACAGTGGTACCTTAGCTCATGAACTTAATCCGTTACATGACTCTGGTCGTGACTCAAATTGGTCGTGACCCAAGTCAAATTTTCCCATAAGGTTCAATGTAAATAAGGTGAATCCATTCTCTAACCATTTTTTTAATCAAAAAATGTGAAACAAAGTGACAAAGAACAACAAAGATTGCAGACATCTTCCCCCATGAACACGACCGCAATCACGCCTGTGTTCTCTGCACAAGCGCGCCCGCGATCACAGCCATAGTTGAGCGCAGTTGTGGTAGTGCTCAGGCAGGGAAGACAGGTGCGATTGCAGCCATCTTTCCCCCACCCCCCAGCACAATCGCAATCATGCCCGTGCAGGGTAGATGGGCGCAATCACGATCGTCACCTGATGCGGAGTTTGCGACCTGAGGCAATTTTTTTCTGAAATTTCTGTTTACAACCCATTTGGTCGTGAACTGAGGCATTTGTGACCTGAGGTACCACTATGTAATATCTATGACTGCAATATCCATCTACTAGAAAGCCAAACAAGACTTTTATTTTAAGATCTGCCAGTGCCATACATGAGCATGCGCACGCATACACATACAGTGTACTTTTGCTTTTCTATCCTTACAGAAGTGTGTGAGAACTTTAAGCTTTTCTTGTCACCTAGGCTATATGGTGCTTTTGAAGCAAAAGCTACATATTAGTGCTGAATCATAATCAATAACATTTGAGCCCATTTATTAATGGAGAAAGGAAATAATTTCTGAAAATACTTAGCAATAAGAAGTCTGCTCCTTCGTTAAATCTGAGGGGAAAGCGCACACAGAAACCATAGGATTGCACCCTGTGGGTCTACCATGCAGTCCTATGGACTGTGCTGTCATTCAGCACAAATTTCTGAATTTGGAGACTGCTGAGATTCCAATGGCCTACCAAGTTGAAGTCAGAAGGACAAGAGACGTGCAAGTAATTTTCCTTTCCCCATCCTCCAATCTCATTCTCCCATCTAGGCATTTTCCTAGATGCCTAGATGGGCATCTAGGAAAGGTACCTGGTAAGGGGAAGGAAAGAAGCTGGAAGAAGCTCAGGATTAATTCCATCCTGGCCTCTCTGGTCTCCTCCCTTACCCACCCACCAGAACACCCACTTTCCTCCACTCTCAGGTGGAATTCCCAACTCTGGAGAGGCAAATTGTGGTTCTGTCTCTGCTGACTGTGAAAGCACAGAGAACTGGATCTCTGCCCCCCTCTTCCAGTGTCAGAGAGCTTCCTTGACTTCAGAAGATGTCTTCTGTTGCTTGCCCAGGGGTCATAAGATTGCTCTCCCCATAAACTAAGGAAAACATTTACCTTACTGTTTCTTTTATTAGCCTTGAAAAATCCCAGAAATCGTTTCTTTTCTTTTTCCGTTGTATCGCAGCTTGTTGAATAATTTCTGGTTTCTGTAATACAGGCAATTTATTGAAACTATTCCAAAGCAACAGATTAACTTATTAACTTTATTTGATGGCAGAAATCAGCAGCTGTGAGGACATGGATGTGTATACCAAAGATTTTTCATCTTGGTTACTGCAGCAGTAATGTGCAGGGCAGAGTTTTCCAGGGCTTTATTTTTCCACATAACATTTCCCATTTTATAAGTTCACTGGTGACAATGAACCAAATGCAAATACATTATTTGGCAAGCCTGGTAGTTTTGCAGTTGTGAGTAATGTATCAGATGAGTATCCCTAGCAAATGCGTGAGAAAGCATGCATGTCCCCGATTGCAAGTGGGAAATTAAAAACATCAAATATCAGAACCAATTATGTAATCTTAAGGTACAGTGATTCTACAAATGGTTTTTAATGATTGTACAAATTGTTAAAGTTGAAATAGATTAGACATTTGTATACCACGTACAATACTTATTAGTTTGTCAATAATTCTTGGTAATGTTAGTTTTTCTTAAATTAAAAGAATATAATGGAAGTGCACTCTACTGTCTTTACATTTTTACAAATAGTGCAACACGACTGCTGCATACTGTAATGCTTAACTCACATTAAGTGTGATTTGATTTTTATCCTTCAAATACTTCAGGTCAAAAACTTGTGGTGTGGTGGATTGGGACAAAAAGAAAAAATGTTCTTTGTTTTAGAGCTTTGTTGTTAACTAAATACAAAGAATGGTATCCAGTGCTGCTTTGTGCCTCTGCTTAGTAGCTGGGCTAGTGGCACCCACTGCCAGACGCTAGAACTTCACCTAGGCAAGCCTTGAAAATAAGCTGAAATGTCAGTTTCCAGAGCAGTACGTGTCAGTGGAGCTCCCTGCTGCAAGTTCCACTGAACTGTTCTATTCTATATATGAGTTTTTTCAGCTCATTTCCAGTTGCGTTAGGAAGTACTAACATCCTATTGCATCAGGAATATGGCTCTGCTGGCACATGTAAAATAAGCTGGATAAGTGAGATTACTCTCTAATGCTTAAGAACATTTTCTCATGTTCAAATTACCCTAATTTACATGGGAAAATTTTCTAAACAGGACAAACTGCTATATTGTGGTATGAATTATTCACAGTAGATAAGTTATATGGCATTATTTCAGCATATTGCAGAATATGGACAAGCTTACTTTGTTCTGGGAGGTTTGAACAGTAAGATTATCCAAGAGCTTTTGCTCTTTGAAATTTTTCCCCTCTGGAAAAAATACTTTTATACTCCTGCTGTAGTTGGTAGTAATGATATATTTATGAACCTATCTGTTCTATATTTGTTGGGTTTTTTCCGCAGTTAGGAAACCATTTGGTTGTTATTTTAAAACAAATGAGCAAAAAAGGAAATAAATGGGGGAGTAAAAAAAAATCCCAAAATAATATGAAAAAGCTGATTTAAACCAATTTTACTTACCTTTGTTTTAACCCAACTTTTTAAAGTTTTATTGGTAAGCATTCAAGTATGAAACCGCCACTATATTTTCTTTGATTTGCCCATACTTGTTTACCAAGCCAAATGTAAATTAAAAAAAAACACCAAAATCTGTGATATCAATATAAAATAATTCTGACATGACATGATAGATACTGAGACCACTCTATATTTATATATTTTCTGTAGAGGAACCCAGGATGTTTCATAAATTGATAACTAAATGTTGTTGTTGTTGTTAGTCGCGAAGTTGTGTCTGACCCATCGCGACCCCATGGACAATATTCCTCCAGGCCTTCCTGTCCTCCACCATCCCCTGGAGCCCACTTAAGCTCACGCCAACTGCTTCAGTGACTCCATCTAGCCATCGCATCCTCTGCTGTCCCCTTCTTCTTTTGCCATCTATTGTTCCCAGCATTAGGCTCTTCTCCAGGGAGTCCTTCCTTTTCATTAGGTATCCAAAGTATTTGAGTTTCATCTTCAGGATCTGGCCTTCTAAAGAGCAGTCAGGGTTGATCTCCTCTAGGACTGACCGGTTTGATCACCTTGCAGTCCAAGGGACTCGCAGGAATCTCCTCTAGCACAATTCAAAGGTCTCAATCCTTTGGCGCTCAGCCTTCCTTAGGGTCCAGCTTTCACAGCCATACATTGCAACTGGGAAAACCATAGCCTTGACTATACACACTTTTGTTGGCAGGGTGATGTCTCTGCTTTTTAGTATGCTGTCTAGATTTGCCATTGCTTTCCACCCCAGGAGAGTCTTTTAATTTCTTGGCTGCAGTTCCCGTCTGCTGAATCGAACTCTTTTCTTGATTTTGAACCAATCAGTGGTTCCGTGCCCAGCATATAGGTTCCTCAAAAGACAAGTAAGATGGTCTGGTACTCCCATCTCTTTAAGAACTTGCCACAGTTTGTTGTGATCCACACAATCAAAAGCTTTAGCATAGTCAATGAAGCAGAAGTAAATATTTTTCTGGAACTCCCTAGCTTTCTCCATGATCCAGCGTATGTTGGCAATTTGATCTCTAGTTCCTTTTTCCCTTTGAAATCCTGCCTGTACTACTGGTAGTTCTCGGTCCACATACTGCAGGAGCCTAGCTTGTAGGATTTTGAGCATAACTTTGCTAGCATGTGAAATGAGTGCAATGGTGCGGTACCTTGAACATTCTTTGGCATTGCCCTTCTTTGCAATCGGATGTAAACTGACCTTTTCCAATCCTGTGGCCACTGTTGAGTTTTCCAAGTTTGCTGGCGTATTGAGTTTAGCACTTGTACTGCATCGTCTTTTAAGATTTTGAATAGCTCAGCTGGAATACTGTCACCTCCACTAGCTTTGTTGGTGCTCAGGCTTCCTAAGGCCCATTTGTCTTCACATTCCAGGATGTCTGGCGCGAGTTCAGTGATCACCCCATCGTGCTTATCTGGGACATTAAGCATTTTCTTGTATACCTCTTCTGTGTAATCTTGCCACCTCTTCTTAATCTCTTCTGCTTCTGTTAGGTCCCTGACATTTTGGTCCTTTATCATGCCCATCTTTGCATGAAACGTTCCCTTCATATCTCCAATTTTCTTGAAGAGATCTCTGGTCCTCCCTATTCTATTGTTTTCTTCTTTTTCTTTGCACTCTTCATTTAAGAAGGCGTTCTTATCTCTTCAAGCTATTTTCTGGAATTCTACATTCAATTGGGTGTATCTTTCTCTTTCTCCCTTGCCTTTCACTTCCCTTCTTTCCTCAGCTATTTGTAAAGCTTCCTCAGACAGCCATTTTGCTTTCTTGCATTTCTTTTTCTTTGGGATGGTTTTAGTTGCTACCTCTTGTACAATGTTGCGAACCTCTGTCCATAGTTCTTCAGGCACTCTGTCTATCAGATCTAATTCCTTAAATCTCTTTGTCACCTCTACTGTATATTCATCAGGGATATGATTTAGGTCATACCTGAGTGGCCAAGTGCTTTTCCCTACTTCCTTCAATTTAAGCCTAAATTTTGCAACAAGAAGCTCATGATCTGAGCCACAGTCAGCTCCTGGTCTAGTTTTTACTGACTGTCTACAGCTTCTCCATCTTTGGCTGCAGAGCACATAGTCAATCTGATTTCTGTGTTGACCGTCTGGTGATGTCCATGGGTAGAGTCGTCTCTTGGGTTGTTGGAAAAGAGTTTGCTATGACCATCGTATTCTTGTGACAAAATTCTACCAGCCTGTGCCCTGCTTCATTTTGTACTCCAAGGCCAAACTTGCCTGTTATTCCAGTTATCTTTTGGCTTCCTACTTTAGCATTCCAATCTCCCATGATGATAGGGACATCATTTTTGGTGTTAATTCTAGAAGGTGTTGTAGGCCTTCATAGAACTGGTCAACTTCAGTCTCTTCAGCACCAGTGGTTGGGGCATAGAATTGGACTATTGTGATGTTGAATGGTTTGCCTTGGATTCAAACTGAGATCATTCTGTCATTTTGGAGATTCCAGTACTGTATTCTAGTATTCCAGTACTGCTTTTTTTACTCTTTTATTGACTATGAAGGCTACACCATTTCTTCTGAGGGATTCTTGCCCTCAGTAGTATACCTGATGGTCATCTGAATTAAATTCACCCATTCCTGTCCATTTTGGTTTACTGATTCCTAAGATGTTGATGTTCAGTCTTGTCATCTCTTGTTTGACCACATCCAGCTTGCCTTCATTCATGGATCTTACATTCTAGGTTTCTATGGAGTATAGATCTTTACAGCATTGGACTCTCCTTTCACCACCAGATACATCTGCAACTGAGTGTCCTTTCGGCTTTGACCCAGTTGCTTCATTCTTTCTGGTACTACTAGTACTAGCCTCTGCTCTTCCTCAGTAGCATATTGGACACCTTCCGACCTGAGGGGCTCATCTTCTGGCATCATATCTTTTTGCCTTTTGGTACTGTCCATGGGGTTTTCATGGCAAAGATACTGGAGTGGGTTGCCGTTTCATTCTCCTTTTGGATCACTTTTTGTCAGAGCTCTCTGCTATGACCTGTCCATCTTGGATGGCCCTGCATGGCATAGCTCATAGCTTCATTGAGCTACGCAAGCCCCTTTGCCACAACAAGGCAGTGATCCCTGAAGGAAATATACTAGATAGTACACCCAAACGCATATAAGTACGGTGGTAGGATCCAAAAGAATCAGGAATTTATTTACAAAAAAATGTGTATTTATTTTTACATGTTCAAACCTCAGTCACTTTCAAAGTACTCTCTGTTTGATGCAATACCCCTACTGAGGGTGTTCAAAGAGGGTGGACATGCTCAAAGAGGGTGGACATGCGCATGGTGGGCATGTCGTGAGCGGGGGTTCTCTATAGTAAAACAATCCTACAATTTCTTAGCAGGCACCATCTCTCCTGCACTTACCACTACAATTTAGACTGTCTTAACTATCAAATCAAATTACTACAAACTGTAATATTAAAATCCATTAAATGGGATATCAAGGCATTGCAGAATCATAAAAATTGCACATATGGACAAATTCTAGCAGTAAACACAAACAAGTTGTTTGGTGTTACATAGTTACATACATAATCTTACTTCAACAAGCCACAAGTGTACAACAGACCATAATAATCATGCTCGACTAGTATTTCTATGTAAATAAAAAAGAATAAAATGAAGGCCAATGACATGTGTACCTATGGATCCTGCATGCAATACAGAAATACATGGAGCCTACATGCAATACAAAGAAACATTTGAGTATTTACAAATCCCAGTTGGAGGACAAACACACCCAAAGTGGAATAAGCATGTCTTCGTGTATGAATGCTCTGAAATGTGTTCATTACCTGCCATACAAATTTAAGATTATAGATGTTAATATTTATCAGGTTATATCCATGCTCATAAATTATGAGATCAGTAAGAAAAATATCCTTTGAGTTATTGGCCAGTCATGTACTATAATGCCAGTAGCAGCTTACACAGTGAACACAAAATGCATTAGTTATCAAAAGCATGCAGAAGAAAAAGGGAAAAGGAAAATCCTCTCTCTCCAAGTCTCCTTTTACAGTACCTCTACAGTTCAGAGAAGGTTCAGATTGAGCTTTTGATGGAACAACTGGAAAGGACAGGAAGTGAAAAGGACAACAACAAAAGGAATACTATTACAAGATGAAACATATTAGATCTGTATATTTGCTGTCATGAATATTTGTTCTCCTGGTGCCGACGATATATGCTTTTCGGCTCCAGGTCAGGACCTTTTTATTAACCCGCTATTTAAACATTTAAATATTTTAATTATGTTTTTATCTTCAGACATGTGTCATTATGTTGTAATTATTAGGTGTTTTATATTGTAAGTCATCTAGAGATGAACATAGAAAAATAGAAAACAGAGCAAGTCAGAAGGGACCTACCGGGCCATCTAGTCTGACCTCCGACACCAGCCAGCTTCGCTCACGACATGCCCACCATGGGGACGTCCAGCCTGTCCTTGAACACCTGCACTGATGGGGCCTCAACGACCTCTCGTGGAAGCCCATTCCACACCCTCGGGGTCCTAACTGTCAGGAAGTGCTTCCTGGCATCCAAATGGAACCTTGGCTCCCTGAGCCTTGCTCCATTGGAGTGTGTCCTGCCTTCCTCTGCAGGGGAGAAAAGGTCTCTACCCATCTCCATGTGACATCCCCTCACATACCTGTATGTCACCAACATATCCCCTCTGAGTCTCCTCTTCTCCAGGCTGAAGAGACCCAGTTCCCTCAGTCTCGCCTCATACGGCATCCCCTGCAAACCGGCCACCAACCTTGTGGCCCTACGCTGCACTGACTCTAACTTGGCTATATCCTTTCTGTAATGAGGGGCCCAAAACTGAACACAATAGTCCAGTTGCGGGCACACCAGAGGCGTGTAGAGTGGTAGTAATACCTCTTTCGATCTAGAACCCACACTTCTGGCTATGCAACCAAGGGTGGCGTTCGCCCTCTTGACCACCACATCACACTGCTGACTCATGTTTAGTCTGCAGTCAACCAGTACCCAGAGGTCCCTTTCACAAGTGCCGCTCTCCAGCCACTTGTCACCTAACCTGTACTTATGACACCTATTCCTATGCCCCAAGTGCAAGACCTTGCACTTATCCACATTGAACGCCATCCTGTTGTCTCCTGCCCACTTCCATAGTCTGTCCAGATCCTTTTGGATCTGGAGTACCTGCTCCTCAGTTGTGGCCACTGCTCCAGTTTTAGTGTCGTCTGCAAATTTGATCAGCAGACTGTTCACCCCTTCTTCCATGTCGTTAATGAAAAGATTAAACAGGATCGGCCCCAGGACAGAGCTCTGGGGGACCCTGCTTGTCACTGGCCGCCATCCCGACAATTCCCCACTAATGGAGAGAACCCTTGCCAACTCTCGGGTGTACTATCGGGTGTAAGTACTCTTGGGTGTAACCCGTCAGGGCCTGGCGCCTTTGTAATGTCCAATGCCCTGAGGAGCCCCTCGACTTCAAGGGGGGTGACTCTAATCTGTGCCCCTAAGTCCCCAGCCTCATCTAATCTCCTATGCGCACATCCCCGAACCTGCTTTGGGGAGAACACAGAGGCAAAATAGTCATTTAGCATCTGTGCCTGTTCCCTCATATCAGTCACTGGATCTCCTTCCTCCTTATTTAGTGGTCCCACCACTTGTCTCCCCTTCCTCTTCCTACTTGCATGCTGAAAGAAGCCCTTTTTGTTGCTCTTGATATTCTTGGCAAGTCTCTGCTCGTAATCAGTCTTAGCCTTGCAAAGAATCCTTCTGCAATGGGCCTCCTCCTCCCAGTATACCCTTTTGTCTATTTCCCCCAGTACCCATTTCCTACGGAGGTTCCTCTTTCGTCTAATCCCTCTAACCGCCTCCTTTCGCATCCATGGCGGCACTCTCCTCCGCCTCCCCACCTTACTGACTAGAGGTATCGTCAAGGCTTGCGCCTCCAAAACCTCCCTTTTGAGTGCCATCCACTCCTCCTCAACTCGCTTACCTTCCAGTAACCTATCCCAGGAGACTTTCCCCAGTCTGGCCTTCAGTTGGCCAAAGTTGGCCCTCTTGAAGTCCCAGCTTCTAGTGCTCGACCTGCTGCACGTCCCCAGTCCCCTGATCTCAAAGCAAAGGATGGAGTGATCACTCGCATCCAGAGCTCCCCTAATCTGTACTTCATCTATCAGCTCCTCCCTATTGGTCAAGACTAAGTCAAGGATGTTTCCCCCCCTTGTCGCCTCTCGGACCCTCTGTGTGAAAAACGCTCCCTCAATAGCTTCTAGGAAGCGACATGACCTGGCTGTCACCGCCAAGTGAGTCTCCCAAGTAATATCCAGGAGACTGAAATCTCCCATAATTACTGTGTCTCTCCTCCGAAATATCCTTAGAATCTGGCCTGTCAGGACATCATCCAGGGTCTCAAGTTGACCTGGAGGGCGATAACATACCCCCACTGTCAGGTCTCTTTCCCTGTCAAAACCACTAAGTTTCACCCAGACTGCCTCTACCGAATCCCCATCTGTCCTGCATTCTATTTCACTGCATCCTATCCCTTCCCTGATGTATAAAGCCATGCCCCACCTCTCTTTTCCTTCCTGTCCTTTCTAAAAAGGTGATACCCTTCTATGTTCACATTCCAGACTTGCCTTTCATCCAACAAAGTTTCTGTGATTCCCACCAGATCATACCCCCCTATTCCCAGCTTCAAGCTCTTCCTGCTTATTACCCATGCTCCTAGCATTGGTGTGCATGCACCTCAACTCCTTCCCACTGCTTCCCTTCCTTGAACCATAATGGACAGGTTAGAAATACCCAAATGAATGAATGAATGAATGTCACAGGGTTGAGAGTAGCAGCCTCCATTTCCCACACAGCAGCTCATAACCAACCAGAAGTTAAACATACATTTCTTACATTTGTATTTAAGGAATGGTTCCAATTTCCATCGCTAAGACCCAATCCTTGCCTTAACATCTTCCTGAATGAATTATTCCTGTCCCTACTCCTTTTTCCTTACTGATCCAATGGGTAATGTGGCATTTTTCTAGAACAATGATCCACATGCTGGTGACAGGATGTGAAACACCTAACTTCCAGGTGCTGTTAGGGAAGTAATCCTCACCTCCCACCACACTCTGTTATCTCTGTTCCAGCTCTTCATGTTTCCCATTCTTCTTTTAAAGCCTGCTTCCAGCAGGTTCAACTATACTCACAGACAAACATTCAGCTATAAGACTATGTAAGATTTACACTGTTAAATACAAGGGAGAAACTGAACTGTGAACTGGGATCAGATTTTGCCTTGGTCATCGCTCAGCAATCTAGAAGAGCCAAACTCTAAGTTAGACCCAGTGAAACTTGGCAGATCCAGGTTTAAAACTGTAGCCCCTTCCAATTTTAACGATTTCACCTCTGACCATTTCCCAGCTCTCAAAATGGCACCTTGAAATTCCTTTTCCAACTACAAAGGAGAAAAAGCTGTGGAAAAGCAAGTTGGCAGTGCCATCTTAAGAAGAAAGCAGCTGAACGCCACCAACCCTGCTTCATCTCTTCAAGATTGTAGTCTTCTGTCTTTATATACAAGCCTGACATTTCTACTATATAGAAGGGAAGCAGAAGGGAAATTAGTAACTATTAATAAATGTCTAGGTGATTCATAGCAGATTTCTGGACTCTAAGTATTTAAGCTATATCAATTATATTTTTGGGAAGAAAATATCTGCCACGGCTGGCACTTTGTTAATTGTTTCACTCTTGGCTTCACTGTTAGGATGTTTGAGGGGCGAGAATCCATTGGATTTCCTGGGCTCGGCTCCTCAGACTCCACTTGGATTGTTACAGCCCTGAGTCTGAATTCCTGGACAGTGCATCCAGTGTTCATGCAGCACTCCCCAGAAATAAAGCCCCATATACTGCACAAGCACCATCCTTCTTCTGCATCTCATGCAGCAACCTTTGCTTGTGCTACTGCAGCTGATGCAGAAAAAGATTACTGGTTGTGCAACCTTCATTCCATGAGCATTTGCAAACTTTCTCTCAACTCAGCTTGTTTTCTAAGACTGGGCCAAACACAAGAGGAAGTCCCCAAATGCCAGAGAGATGGATTCCACTGAGTAGCTTCCCAACCCTACTCAGTGTTCCAAATCTGTAAAATCAGGTGCTTTTGACTAGGTCTTTTGCTCAACAGTACTAGTCAGTTTTAGGGAGTTGTGTTAGAATCTCTGATCTTTGGTAAGTCTCATGTAGGTTTACTTGATTCAGACCCCAAGTAGGGTTGTACAGATGTAAAATCCACTCCATCTATGTTTCACAGATTGGCAAGCACCTTTCTTTCTATCATCCACTCATTGAAATAAATGGATTTTATGAAATTCTGTTTGTATACATTTATGCAACTTCAGATAGTGCATTTTCAAGAGTACGAATTTGTACAATCTCTGAAAAATGTATCTTTTCATGCTTAAGCCTATAGGAGAAATGGTTATTTAAATTTATTTTACATATTTTACTATTAAATTTATGTAAAATTTTGTAATAAAATGTGCAATTAGTCTTGTGGACAGTCTGCTGCAGAATCCACAGGTCTGATTCCTAGAAACCCAAACTCATTTGAGTTCATTGCTGATTTCTCAGACATCCCTAACTGCAAGCCACCAATTTGTCTCTTGCTCCAATGGCAAATTTTAGTGATCTAGTAAAATACCAAGTCTAATATTTACCTACCCCTTTAATATATGTTTAGTTTACCACTAACTAAAGTGGAAGAGTTTGGATTTAGGTGGAGAACATTTCAAGCAATACTTGTGTCTTTCAACTCCGGTCTCATCATCCATATGAGTAACTTTCAGGACTAGTGTCAAAATTACTGAAATCATGCATGTGGTTTCAGTACTCTAAAACACTATATAAATGCTAAGCATTATCACCATAATTTATCTGACCGAATGCAGAACTTGTGTCGAGGAAATCTAAGTACAAAGTCCAGCTCCAATCTAGGAATAATTTTATGCCAAGGCTGTTTTTGGTTTCTGATCAACAAAATAAAGGCTCTCACATCTTAACTCAAAGGATGTTGTTGCAAAGACAGAATATGACAGACTGAGAAACCACTGTGCTTATTTTCCAACTGTTTTAGAAATACAGCTATATAGCAAGTCAGTGGACAGTCAGTAAAGGAAGATTTTGTTTTTATCTCTGAACTATACTAAAAACAGATTAAGCTAGCAGGAAATAGTTTCTTCCATGACATCCAAACAGGAAGGAGCCATGTACGCCAAACAAGAATGCTATAAAAATGTATGGTCACATGGCTTAGATATTGGGCTCAGCTCTGCAAATTCATGGGTCAGATTAATGAATTGTTTCAAATTTCTCAACTGCAAAAAGGAATTAAATTGCATCTTACCCATTCAGTTATTATTAAAAACATCACTACTAAGTGGCAACATGAGTTTTTGCTTAAGTATCTGAACTGTTGGATAATATTCTACTCTTGATGGGGGGCGTTATCTGCACCCAACTGTAGTAACTATCACTGCAGAAACTTCCCCTTACCAACACAGAAGCACTAGCACAAAGTTCTGCTTTGGTGTCTTGATAACAGTGCAAATGAGAATAGAATACCCTTCTCATATAGAAAAGCAGCTGTTTGCTTCTTTAAGTAAAAATAGTTTTAAGATATAAATTAAAGGGCTGGAAGAAAGGTAGCACACATTGGCCAAAGAGGTTTATGCACTGTCTGCATGCTTGTGCAATAAGGGCTCTTCCTTTCCTACATTTTTTAATCTTAGAAACAATTCTAAAATTGCCATGACACTGAAAGGGTACTTGCTGCACAAGGTGATCAGCTCCTTAGCAACAGATGCATAAATGCATATATTCATTCACAAGGCTCAGAATATATAGAATGGTGACTGTCACAGGCAATAGATACAGCTGTAACAGCTCAAAGGCAGCCCTGGCAATCAGCAATTATATTCTTACTGTTTGTCATGTCAACATTTTTGTTTTGTTTTTATCAGTGTAAATATTTGGGCTGCAGCTTACCAACTGCTGTGTCAGTGGGTGACATTGAAGTCTCAGGACCATTTTATATATTTGTTTTTCTAGGCCATGGGTCCTCAAATTACAGCCCGGGGGCCAGATCCGGCCTGCCATGCCCATTTGGACCAGCCACATGCCGGGAGGCAGCGGTTCGCTCGCTTATGCTGTCCTCTGGTTGCAAAGCAGAGTCCAGATGGCCATAGGAGAATCTGGAGTCTGAATTCTAGCCTTGGAAACCTGCTTCAAATAAAGGGCACTCTCCCTTTGCCCTCGCAGCCATTGTGGAAGGAACTGTACCAGCTGCAGCTCTAAGTTTGCAAAGTTAACCTCAGAGTTCAGTGGGTGTTCTGGGGTGGGGGGCAGGAAGGGGAAGAGACAGTATCCTGTCAGCATCTTGGCCTCCCCTTCTTGCGTTCCAGGGCAAAAAACTTAAACAGCCAAACTCAAGTGATTTTAAGGACAGGAGAACTGTGCAGCTGACTTTCATCTTTGTACTCATTTTGCCCTCCACAGGATGCCCATAAACTTCTGAGTTCAGAGGACTACACAAAGCCTCATTTCATTGTGCTATCATGACATTCGCATACCCCTGGTCTGGAAGATGAAAGCTTATATATGTTGTAAGAATGAGGCTTAAATCCTCCTGTTCAACAGATATGCAACATACTCAGTTGTCAACTGGGCAGCTGAGAAAACATTTACCACAGTTAATAGTACAACCACTTCAAATTAAACAGAAATCAAGGTTGGGGGGGAACCCCAAGCCTTGTTTATTTACAGTGCAAGCCAATGTGTGATTACATAGAAGCAAGCTATACTATGTTAAATGAGGCTTACTTCCAATTAAACGTACACAAAAGAAATGCCTTGAGAAATGCAATTTGTCCACATTTTAAAAAGCCAGATGGTTTCTTTTAAAAGGGGATTTGAAAGAAAATACCTAACATGACTAAATTACTACATAAATAAAAAATGTCTCTCTAGTTCTTTCCAGAGAGATGGTGCAATAAATGAAACCAGCAATTCTGTTAAGAAGTCTTCAGAGGAAAAGCAGGCTTTTTAACCTTAGCTTAAGAACTTATTCATGCCATCTGATATCAGCTGCTGCTTTATCATGACTATCATGGCACCTGCCTTGTTTTCAGTTTAGGGATAAAAAACATTTTTAGAATAAAGATACCTCCTTTACTTCTCTTCAGTATAAACAAACAGGTTTTCCTGTGCTTTGTTTAAAACTAAATCTGAGTTTAGTTGCAGCTGTTCCTCAGAAGCAGGCTCCCTTGTTGATCTTGGCTCTTCTGAGCCCCAACAGTTGCCGTGACTGTAGTACATGCGACACTCCAAGTCTTTTGCCACAGACAGCTATGCAATGGCTTCCTAGAGCTGATTTCAGAGCTGCTTAGGTGCCTGTTGACAGCAGCATTCAGAGGCAAGGCTGCCCCACCTTCTGTGCGCAGAGTGGGCCAATCATCTGCGTGACATCTGCTAGCTGGCATGATGCCTGGGAACAAGGCAGGCTATTTGCAGTTCAGTAGCAGCTGAACATGCTTCTGTTACAGCTGCTGGACTAGCTTATGGAACCAATAAATATAAGTGTACATCAGTATCACTATTCTGGTTTCAGTGATGTTGCAGAGGCAGACAGGTGAAGACTACAGGTACACAGTATAAATTGTGATCATAAAGTAACAAGCAGAAGGAGAGAGGCCATTTGCCTACTTCACATTGCCAAAGCAACTTACCCTTTGTATACCCTAATCGAGGGGTAGGAAACCCTTTTGGGCTCACAGTCCATTTTTTCAAGGCTAGGACTTTCCCCTTTGACTGTCCCCACTTCTTGGATTCCTTTTTCTTAACCACCTGCTCCCTCAATTTCCTCTTTTCTGCCCCCCCACCATTTCCTGTCCAAATGGCTTCTTCCACCCATTGCCACTTCATTTGTCACCACGTCATTTGCCCATCTACCACGGCTTCTCCTGCTACCTCCACTAGTGAGTCATGTACTGAGAAAGCAGGAAGTCCCCCAACTGGAAGAGGGGAAGGGGCACCAAGTAAGCAGGCAGGTGGATGAGGAAGGGACTTCACTGGCATAAAAAGTGTAGGCATAAGAATTTGGGAGAGGAACATATTTCTATCTCCTCTAGTTCCTCTGCAGCTCAGCTTATGGTAAGCACCCACAGAATGATGGGGATGTCACTGAATAAAACTGACAGTGGACTAACATCTTCTACTGAAGAGTTCCATGCCATTAAAACTGAGTCCTTGGCAATTCCAAGTAGGATATAGCATGTCTGGATGCACTGCAAAACTTACTTTTGGGGAAAAAAACAGTCTTTCTACAGCCCCAGTATTAAAAGTGGCAGAATGAAAAAAATGGAGGCACTCCCTCATTATTCTCTCTTCCCCTTGGCTGTCCAATTCTATCAGCAGTATTTGGGCTGACAGAAGTTGATCTATCGGCAGATCTCTAGATTTGCAGTAGTTCAGCATGGGTCTCCAACTCCCCCACCCCACTTTTGCTAAGCAATATGAGAAATAAAATCACTATCCTTCTGCCCTAAATTGAAATGAAGAAAGCTTGGGATAAGCAGGAGTGGATTTTTGCACAGAGGGACTGTGTACATTCAATACTCCAAAACAGTTCCTGAACTTATAATTCTTTATATCTAAGTGTAAGTCTTTAGCTGTAGATGTTAAAAACCACAGAGATATCAAAAGCCCAAGACCTGCCCACCCAGTCCTAACACAATGTTTCTTCATAATATATAGCATATGTCTTCACTTACCTCTTTTCCTGTCCCATGCATAAAGCTCCTTTATTCCCAGTTCATTCAGTGATTTTGTAAGCTCCAACTCCTCCCCACTGAAGGTATCTCTCAAGAGGACAAGGTATTCCTGACTGACCTCACATTTTTCACAAATGGCTGGGATTAAACTCTGAAGGGGTACCTCAGGGCTCACTCGAACCACTGCCTTTTGTGTCTTCAGGTAATTTACTACCAGCCTCACAGTTTTCTGGAGTAAATAAAATGCAAACAGAAAAAAGCATCTATGAGCCACAAAACCTCAGCAGTAGCTTTCAAAGAGTAAAATCAAAATGGATGATTTATACTGAACTAGAAAGTTAACAAAAGATAAAAGCAGTGTCATATTCATTGAGGCAAGGGAGCACTATAAGGCAGAGTGGGATTCCTTAGAGCATTCTTCTTGAAAGATGTGATCAACACTCATTAAATACTTCTATATAAAATTCTGAAAGACATTAATACTTACACTGCAAAGGAAAAGGATAACTATTATTTAAATATCAGATTTAAAGAGAAATCTGAGCCATAATGGCCCTTAGCAACATATTTTATAAAGCAATACCAAGACATGGGTGAGAATCATGCAGGTTTTTCCCATTATGGAATAGAAGTCCTCTACAAAACTAAATCAGCTCTATCCCTCTACCAGGTGGCAGAGTTCTTCATTATGTTGCAATTTTGCCCATTTTATATTCTTCCTTTCAAAATCAAACACTCACAGTATAAAATGACTGTATGAATTAAATGATAAGTTTTCAAACTGGGAAATGAAAGAAAGAGTTAATACCCCAAGTCTGTACTGCTGAAACTATTCCTGTCAATGACTGAGCAGGAAAAGCAGGTTGCTTACCTGAAACTGATGTTCTTCAAGTGGCCATGTGTGCATTCACACATACGGGTGCTGCGCCTGCACAGTGCCTAAGGCCAGAAAGATTAGAAAGCTAACGGTTTTTGGTGGGAAACTCAGCTCCCCTCCCCCTCCATACTATAAATAGAGCGGAGTGTCCACCATTTTCTCAGTCTTTATAAGACTGAACATTTGCCCCCTCTCGGGAGAGAGACATATTGCAATGACTTCATTAGGGACCATGACCATCAAATGAGACATGGTACCGACATAAAATCCACTCACTGACACCGAGTGGGGCCGGCGGATGAGTTGTGTGAATGCACAGATAGCCACTCGAAGAACATCAGTTACAAGTAAGCGGAAAGGACTGCTCTGCCTAAGGAACAATCCTGTCTGGCACGCACATCAAGCCGATAGTGCTTGGCAAAAGTACATGGAGCAGCCCAAGTTGCAGCTCTACAGATGTCTTGAATTGGGATTCCCGCGGCAAAGGCAGGTGAAGCCACTACTGCTCTCATGGAGTGACCCCTCGGAGCAACAGGTAAATCCAACTTGGCAAGTTGATATGCCAACACGATAGTCTGAACTATCCATTTTGAAAGTCTTTGAGATGTGACTGGAGAGCCCTTCTCCTGTTCAGAATATTTTACGAAGAGTCAATTAGAACACTGAAAAGACTGTGCGCGATCTGTAGAACGCCAAGCAACGCCGCACATCGAGAGTATGTAGAGATCTTTCAATCGGGTTTGATGGTGATGGAAAAAAAGCAGGTAAGATGATCTCCTGATTCATATGGAACAGAGTGGCTACTTTAGGTAAAAACGTCGAACCCATCTGAAGAACAACCTTTTTCTTAAGGAAATTCAAATACGGCAGATCTACTCGAAGAGCACAAAGTTCACTAGCTCTCTGAGCTGACTTGAAGGCTATGAGAAAGGCCGTCTTCCAGGATACTAGACATAAATCAATAGTTGCCAGAGGTTCAAAGGGAGCTCTGGTAAGTGCCCAAAGTACAACCGAGAGACTCCAAGTCAGCATGACAGGGTGAATTGATGGATGAAGATTCTGCAGTCCTTTGATGAATCGTCTAACTATTGGCTGTGAAAAAACCAATGAACCTTGTATCACACCACGGTAATGCAAAATCGCGGCCGCATAAACCTTTACAGACGTAGGTTTAAGTCCCGAACGATGCAGCTCTAAAAGAAACTGTAATATGTTCTCAAAAGAAGCTGATTCAGGAGCAAACGAATGGGATTCAGTGAAAGATGAGAATCGATGTCACTTCACCGCATAAGATCTCCGTGTTGATGGTCGTAGAGCAGATTCAAGAATTCTCTGAATATCTGGATCGAGAATGCCTGATCCCGAGGTAACTCCCATCAGGTCCAAGGAAGTAAGTAGCACCTCGGTTCCATAAGTGGGAATTTCAGGTAGTCGAGATGTTGTCAGTATTGAATCGGTATCAATGGTCAGCGGATTCGCCAAGCTGTGAGGTTCAGAGAAACTAGATCCAGATGACGAACCGCTCCGTCTTGTTGCGTTATTAGATGAGGTATCAATGGGAGACGAAGAAAGGTGTTGTGTGACATCCGCAGAAGAGTGAAGAACCACGGCTGACGGGGCCACCATGGAGTTATTAAGATTCCCGTGGCACCGTTGTGGGCAATCTTCGAGACTACTTTCGTTAAGAGTGGAATCGGAGGGAAAGCTTAAAAGTTGATATTGCCTCACGGGATCATAAGGGCATCTCCTGCTGATCCCGGTCCAATGCCTGCCCTGGAGCAGAACATCTCGTATACCCTGTTCATATGGGTAGTGAACAAGTCCATGTCTGGGTGTCCCCAACAACGGAAAAGCTGATTGCAGATCTGTCGATCCAACTCCCATTCGTGGGTTGTTGACATTTGCCTGCTCAACAGGTAGGCTTCTTCGTTGTCTGTACCGGCTAGGTGTCCCTCAGGATGCACCAGTCCCAAATCCTTATCAACAGCCGAGCCAGGGCGGCTGATTTCGTTCCACCCTGTTTGTTCACATAGAACACAGTGGTTATGCTGTTGGATGCGATCTGAACTACTTGCCGCCGAAGAATATCCTTGAAGGATCGAACAGCTTTGAAGATCGCTAGCAGTTCGAGAAAAGTGATGTGTCTGGCTGATTCTTGTCGGTCCCAAGTGCCCTGAGTGCGAAGTCCTGCACATACTGCACCCCAACCATCAATGATGCATCGGTGTAAAGAGTCACGGTTGGTTGAGGCAGTCGGAATGGGACACCCACATTCAGATTGACTGGTATTGTCCACCATGTCAAGAACGGGCAGCGGGAGCTGGATTGGTTTGTTGGGCAAATCCCGCTGAGGATGAAACATTCTGTTGAAGCAAAGTTGAAGAGGTCGAAGTCGAAGTCTGGCGTATGGAACGATGGCAACCAAAGCGGCCATATGGCCCAGAAGTTGTTGAATGGAAAGAGCCGGTACAGTCCTGTCTCGTCGAATCCGATGAATCCATGAGCAGAGACTGTCTTGACGATCCAGAGGAAGAAATGCCCTCACTAGGGTAGAGTTGAGACGGGCTCCAATGAAGTCGATCACCTGCGCAGGAACAAGGGATGATTTTTCATGATTAATACATAGTTCCAGATTGTCCAGCAGAGCACAGGTTGTATGGATGGCTGAAAGAAGACTATCCCTGGTCTGGGAAACTATTAGCCAGTCGTCTAGGTAAGGGTATGCTTGGATACCCTGAAGCCAAAGATGCAGGCACACTGGAGCCATGCATTTTGTGAAGACTCACGGAGCGGTGGCTAATCTAGATGGGAGTATATTAAACTCAAATATGTCGGACCCAACAGTGAAGCTTAAGAGACGTCTATGACAAGGATGAATTGAGATGTGAAAATAGGCATCTCTCAAGTCCAGGAAGGCAAACCAATCCTCTCTCCCCAGCAATGGAAGGATATTTTGAAGGGTGGTCATCCAAAATTTCTTAGGCTTGATAAACCTATTTATATCTCGCAAGTCCAGGATAGGACGGAGACCACCATCCCATTTAGGGACTGTAAAATATCTTGAATAGAATCCGTGAAGTCCCTCAGAACGAGAGAGGTGACAAATCACTCCTTTATGAAGTAGTTGGTGAATTTCGTCTGGTAACACTGTCGAGCCAGGTGCAAATTGAATCGGGCTTGACGGAGGAACGATGTCGAATTCTATTCTGTATCCGAGCTGGATGATGGATAAAACCCACCGATCAGATGTGATGGACTCCCAAATGGGGAGTAGGCTTTGCAGCCGATCCCCAAATGAGAGGGGGAAAGGTGGAAATTGGAGAGAAGGAGAGGTTCTCCGGGCCCATCAGTGCTGACGCTTGTCGGTGTTGAAGCAGTGACAGCCCTGCTGAAAATGCTGCTGCGGCTGCTGCTTTCAACGCTGTTGCCATTGTTGATATTGCTGCCTCGGTGGGAATTGTTGACGGTAAGATGACCAAGACCAGGACCACTTACATCTCTGTTGAGTCAGAATTTCCATTCGGCGGGCTGTCATCCATGACTCATGAATGGGTTTCAATTTATGGTCCATCCTGGTGTGGAACAGTCCCGATCCATCAAATGGCTTCTCTTCTATCTGCCATTTCATCTCCTCTGGAAAATTACAGCTTCTGAGTCATACGTGTCGACGCAGAGAGATGGCACCGACCAGAGCCCTGGAATCGGTGTCGACATGGTGCCGCACTGTTGATAGCTGCTGAATGGCAACTTGCATGGCTTCTTTTATGAAGACTTTGGCCAAGTCTCCCTGATGGTTGGGCAGAGAAGTGGCAATGATGTCGAGCTTTTGCATAATAAAGTACTGATATCTGGCAAGTGTCGCCTCGTAGTTCGCGATACGAAGGCCATGTCCAGAGGCCGCACAGACTCTGTGTGCCAGCATATCGATTTTTCTGCCCTCCTTATCACGAGCCCTGGGACGACTCAACAACTACCAAGTTCAGTTTTAGATGGTGCAGGAGGAATGGAATATCCTGCTCCCGAACCCGGTACATCGCCTCGTAATGTCAAGATGTGGCCTGCGGCTGGGCCAGTAGGTCCCAGGGTTGAACCATCGCCTGACGAAGCATGGTTATCACAATGGCCGCTGACTGCTCGCCCCTAACGATATCATAAAACCTGTCAGTGCTAGGATCGGGCCAGTGTTGTGCTTCAATCTCCAGCGACCGAACAAGTCTTGACATCAATTCCCCAAAGGTGATGTGGGGTTCCTCCGGGGATCTTGGACCCTGTGATGTGATGGCCACATCCGGAGAGGTAGAGTCTGCCTCCGACTTGTATGAGTCGGCCTCGTAGCGGTAAGGTCCACTAGATGAACAGTTCCCCGGCGACATGGGGTGTCTCAGCTCTGCACATCCTGATGTAGATGGTGCCTCTCTCGGAACCGATAGTGATGGACGGTCCCGTGCTGACAGACAGAATCCGAAATAATGGTAGTCCTCGCAATCTATGTAACTTCCATAACAGGGTTGGTCCCATTCCTCTAAATGCCTGTCAGCAGAGTGACGTTGGTACCATGGCGGAGAAACAGAAGACTCCGTGGCTGGCCTAGATGGCGGCATTGGCATGGGTGAGCGAACCGTCAGTGGGGAGTCACGGATTTCTCCATCTGAAATCAACTCACACATTGGCGCCTCAGGTCGTTGGGGAGACGCACTTTCCACCCGTGCGACCCGTCTAGGGGACCCCGGCAGCGTAACCTACATGACCGATTGAAGGGCCAGTCTGATGGAGTCAGTACCGTTGCAGCTGCCGGGACCGAGGGCACTGACGAACCCGAGTCGTGATGTTTGGCGTGCTTGGGTTTCTTCGTCTTGTGGGCCGACTTGTCTGTCTTGTCCTCTTTTGCCTTTTTATGGCTGGAGGACTTGTCGGAGCCACCATCCTTTCTCTTCTCCCTTTGTTTACTAGGTGGAGAAGGAAGTTGTTGAGCCCCCATCGCTGAAGTACCCTCATCCGATAGGCATCATGGCGGCACGGCTGAGGCAGAGGCAGGGCACTGTAGAGGCGCAGCTGAGGCAGAACCAGGCTTTGGAACCAGCTGGTTCGACTGTGTAAGGGCCTGGTCCCAAAGCAGCTTACGCAGGCAGTTTTCCCGATTCTTCCAGGCCTGCTTAGTAAAGGCCAGGCAGTGGCCACTCTTGTCTGTTCTGTGCCCCTCGCCTAGGCAAAGGAGGCACAGATCATGCGGGTCCGCAGGGGACATTTTAGACCCGCACTCAGCACATTTACGAAAGGCCGCTCAGTGCACCATTGGAAAATGGAAAAGGAGAAGATAGTGAAGAGGGAAAGATAATCTTTTTGTTTTGTTTTGTTTTTTATAGCGAAAGGAGAACAAGAGAGATAATTGAACAAGAGAGAAAAAACTTGGAAGTACAGGAGAACGATTAACAAGATTAACAAGAACAAAGAGATTGATACTATGAGAGCGAAAAGGCACGAGGCGCAGCAAACGGCGGTCGCAAAAGACTGAGAAAATGGTGGACACTCCGCTCTATAAATAGTATGGAGGGGGAGGGGAGCGGAGTTTCCCACCAAAAACCATTAGTTCTAATCTTTCCGGCCTTACGCACTGCACAGGCACAGCACCCATATGTATGATGCACAGAGGTCACGACGAAGAACCAGCCATTTCAGGTATGACCATATAAATAATATTAAACAACCAGTTAGATATTCAGTGGACACACCTTGCAAAAGGCATTTCTAATGCCTAACTCAGTCAAGCACCTAGTATCATTCTTACTGGAAATCTAACATCTTCTGTCAGACCAGCCCCAAGCATGCCCTAAGTCATTACCCACTTTCAATCCTTTATACATATATCCCTGTAACAAACTCAAACTGTGATATGACAGATATGACAGATCCAAACACTTCAATGCTTTGACCTGTATTCTCCTGGGGTTGACATGGCACCCTGCTCATTCTTTGTGAAATATTCCTAGCACTGTCCCTCATGCAGGGAACAAACCCCAGTTTCTAGGCTCAAACTGTTGGGATTGAGAAGGGCAGTTGCTCTTGGCACACATTAATCTGGACACAGGAGGAGGAGGAGGAGGAGGAGGAGGAGGAGGAGGAGGAGGAGGAGGAGTGGGGTGGGAGTCAGAATGTGGGCCTATTACAGATGTTGGCATGAGAGAAGTGAAGGCACTTACCTCAAGGCCAAATTTCCCAGGTGCTCCAGCAGCTCTGAGAATAACCAAAATGTACAGCTATTGAGAGTGGGTTTGGAATAAGGGGGTTTCTGAGAGACAGACAAAGCAGGTACATTTCTGAACCCCATGACACTATGTTGGGAGAGGAAGGTTACCCAATTAGAGGATTGGGATGCAAAGTGGAGATGTACCCATTTCCAAAAGGCCCTTCCCAAAAGGGTGGAGCCCAAACATACTCATACAGAATTCCTAGAAGTAAATACTGGACTGGGTTCAACAGACCACACCATGCATGTTCAAAGATTCATTCTGGATGATTGGGCTTCTAGAAAATGCTTTGGTCAATAGAGAACTGTTTGCAAGAAAAGTTTGTGGCTTTGAATGTGCGATGGGAGAAACCTAGCTCATGACACAAAGTCTTCTGTCTGTGCTTGAGCTACATGTTTGACACTTACACTCAGATAGGGCTTCATTTCCTGTGAAGCACCCATGGCTGCATTTAGCTGATTTCCACTTTAGAAATACTATCTGACTACACTGGGAAATTAGCAACTTGCTTGGGGAGCTCAGAGGAGTTTCCACTCTGTGTCTACAGTAGCAATAGTGGAACAATATAGGAAAGTTAGTTCTTTTGGAGCCATTAGCAAGTCTGTCTCTTGCAGCTGGAGTAAATAGCATTATGAATTTATGGATTTAAGCTCAATGACTTACATTTCCTATAGCCAAGATAAGAGTTAAGGCATTTTACAAAGGTACTGATGGATCCCAAGACATGCTTCTCATGATGCCTTTGTAACCTGCTAATGACCTACTCATCCAGCTTCAGGAATTATTAGACCAAGTGGAAAACAATGCCCTACTTTCTGGCAGATTTTCTCACAAACTGTGATGTTCCTAATACTAATATCTCATCTCATTTCTCTGTTTGTTTGTGGTGCCAAATCTAATTTTAGCTTAAAATAGATTGCACTTTAGCACTTAATGAGAAGACTCCCCAGTTTAGTGGTGAGAACTGAGGTAAAGCCTGTAACACATCCTCTGAATATCTCTACACACCTGCATCTTCTAGAAGTTTCAAATACAGATAAATGGGGAGTTTTTTAATTTCAAGAAAGCCAGTGTGGTGTAGTGGTTAAGAGTGAGGAACTGGGACTCAGTAGATCTGGGTTCTATTCCCTGCTCAGCTATGGAGCCAACTGGGTGATTTTGGCCAGTCACAGACTCTCAATCCAACCTACCTCACAGGGTTATTGTAGTGTGGATAAGATTGAGGAAGAGCATAAGAATTATGTAAGCAGTCTCGAGTTCTTTGAAAGGAAAAAATGTAGGAGATAAATATAATAAATAAATTTTCATTCCTCAGCAGCCTCACATCAGTCACAGTGGTCAGAAGACAGAATGAATACGAATTACCACCAAAAGTTTTCTACTCTGTCTTCAGTCACTTCTCAAATAATGCAAATTGAGTCCAAATTTCTCCTTCTTCAAGAAATGGAATGGATGACTCCCTACTCATACTAGTGACCATTCTGCTCCTAGTTACTGTCTCCTGGTACCTTTGAACCCCACTCCCAAGTGCCCTCAGGCTCTCCAGTTGAGTAAGCCTAACCTTGAGTCAGTTGCATTCTCCTTCCCTGATTAGAATAAGGACTTCCTCCTTTGATCTCATATCCTGGAAATATATTTTTCATTAATTTTGGCTGTTATGTACCTGTAATTAAGTGACTAATATCTATGATCCCTCAGTTCTTTATTTTGATATGCTTATTTCAATAAATGCCACTATTCTTGAACTGTGTGTTATGTACATGCACTCCTGCATGCACACCTATCATACCAGTTATGATAAGATGTTCTTCAAGTTCAAAGATCCCTTTAAATCATAAGGCTGTTTATAAGCCAACAGAGGACATATAGTGGTAACACTGTAAATAACAAATGAAAAAATGGACAATTAACTCAAAGCTTTGGCAAAAATTGCACTTAATTTAGCTGGTGGACAGGAGAAAGGAAGAGCTAGATCTTTTGGCAAAGTGGACACCAGTCAGGTCCAAATTAAATTGTATACACTGCTCCTTTCAGAACACCATGCTACTATGTTTATTTAATCAATGGCATGCCACTGTCAACTGCAAATAGTCTTGTACCATCAACAGCCACTGCAACTGTTTCATATGCCCAGAGTCCATTCTAGCTGTTAGATAAACTTATTCTTACACTGTAAGACTATAATGCTAGACTCCAAACCAAGTCTCACAACTCATTCAATATGGTGCATTTGGAAAGAGACCTGTCCCCACCATTCCTTGACATACATCCAAAACACTGTTACACAACATACTGTTACACATTCTCACCTCAGGAATCCTGGGAGGAGGCCGCTTGGTCTTTCCTTCAAGAATCTTTTCCTTCAGAAGTATCTTATGTACATCCAGTGACCCTATCAAAGTATTTGGCTTGTAACTCAAAGGCTCTTGGGTCCCCCGGGTCTGTAGCTCAAGAGTGTGGTGTGCTGGATTTAAGTGGTGTTGGCTGCACAAGTCAACTAACAAGTCCATCACAGCTTTACTGTAAAGAACATGATATTAATTAACAGGCCAGCTAGAAGAAACTGGACTTTTAATGTGGACAGAAGGGACACACTGGAACAATATCCAGTATAATCAAGTATATTAAAATGAACCATTCTTTTTAAACACAATAAAATACTTCAAAAATAATTATTTTTCATATCATGGGAAATATCCATGTTCTAACCAATACTAACTGACTCCAGAAGCATTCCTTCTGATTGAAGGAATCAATTTTCCTGATTGAAGGAAAAAATAATCACAAAGGCAAATTATCATACAAATACTTGACTGTCCTTGTTAACGTAAAAGGTGTTACCAGGAATTGATGAGAAGTATCTCTTTTAAGAAAGGGTCATGGCCCATCAGCTTTGAAGGTCACAGTTGTTCATCCAATGACAAAAAAGCATCCCTTTGTTCCCCCGGATCTAAATTATCACCACTCAGTATCCAGTATTCCATTTTAGGCATGATAGGAAGATGTAGTGCCATCCCAACGCCACATTTTTTTCTGGATGATATTGATTATCTAGATTCCTTCTATTCAAGGTTCCACATTAATTTGCGGACTATTCAATAGGCAGCCTAAACAGTTTTAATTTAAACCAGGAGGTCTAACAATGGAAGTATGACCTCTCCTGGACTACTCAGCAGCAGCACAATTAACCATGGCATCCTTTTAGACTGTCAAGAATAATTTTCAGCGACACTATATTTAAGTGGTCCAATCATTCTTGAAGGTCCAAGATCCCAATAGGTTATGCTGAATAATCATTCAGTCACTTGTACTTGGTATCATAGGTTGCCTTCTTGTATTCTATGCTTTTTTGATGTGTGTTTACATGATTAAGGTGTTGTTGTTTTTTCAGTGAAGGCTACTCATTGCAGCTGGCTGTTGTAAATGATAACAGGTCGTTCACATGTCAGGGACACAGGTGACCAAAGGGACACAGGTGACCAAAGAAAGGACTACATCATTTATTCTAGATGGTTATGATCAAGCCCTTCTGGCCCATGGGCTGTTTAATAACCAGAATCTTAAACCACAGTCTCAAGCTAGTTTAAGATCCTGGTTAGTGAACTGACTTTAAAGCATTGTCTCACAATCTAATTCCAAGTCATGCTGTTAACAGAAAATAGAGTAAGTTTCCACTTACATCAGCATCCTTGAAGGAAAGGTGCAATAAAACGTACCATTTAATCATCTCCACATAAAAGCCTGGAGTATTCAGTCCAGCTTCGTATCACATAACAGAATGAAATTACTCTCTATGTGGCAATGTTGTCATAAGAAGCTGGAAAATGTCAAGGCCTACAGTGCAATGCATTCTGAATCCAAACTAGATTTAATTCAGAATGACTTTTAAACTGGACTGGCAGTAGGCTTCGATAGAAATTGTTTTTCAGAAATTTGTTCCTTTATTTTTGAGTAGAGGGAGTTTACATGTTTTACAGGTACTTTTTGGTTCAGTCTATTGTATTAAACTAAGGCACCAATTATTATGTTCCAATTTTGATTCACCTCTGACTGTGAATACCTTTAACTGAATTAATAACTCTCATTTAGAGATTGACTGGGAAAACAATACATTGCATCTGAAGGGGCAGCATACAACACATTTTTCTTGGTTGTTATGCCCTACCCTATTCATCTCCCCTTCCCCAAAATAAATACAAAATATTTTCTCATACAATCTTTTTCCAAGATAGACAAATGTATTAATATTACAAATAATTTAGGTCAGCAAACATTAAAAAGGGAAATATAGGAAGATCAACACAAGGAAAGACAATAAGCGTATTTATACTAAAGGACTAGAAACAATGACATGTGTTGATATACCTACACTGCTACATTACAAGTACAGTGGTACCTCAGCTCACGAACAGCTCAGTTCACAAGTTGCAAACAGAAATTTTGGGAAAATATTGCCTCAGGTTGTGAACTCTGCATCGGGGAATGATCACAATCACGGCCATCTTCCCTGCATGAACACTCTAAACAATAACCTTCTCCCAACCCACCACAAGGGGGAGCCATAAGGGTGCGCTCACCTTTGTCGAGGCCTTCCTGGCTCCTCACCGCCGCTTCACTTCCGAGGCGGAGGAAGGTCTTCTCGCAGGCTCTCGCCTGGCTCCGGGAGGGGGAGCAGGACCAGAGAGGCAAGCATGGGGCAGCTCCCCCGGCCCGGGAGAGGGCCATGAAGAGTGAGGTAAGGGCTGCTTTCCACGGACAGAGACGAGGGTAGGCGAGGGACAGGGCCACGGCCAGCCGAGCAGGGTGCCTCCCGCCTCTCCCCACTGTGTCCGCCCCCGGGCTTGGTGAGGTGGCCATGGCTTGGCCCGCAACCCGGGGATGTGGCTCATACTGTATTTTTTTGGTTTAAAAGAATCACATATTAATTTATTTAAAACTTTTATATGCCATCCTTTATATATAACATAAATTTATGGTAAAGAACAAATTAACCTTATTTACATTGAACCTTATTAGGAAATTTGACTTGGCTCGCAATCAATTTGGGTCGTGACCAGAAGCATGGAATGGATTAAGTTCGTGAGCTGAGGTACCACTGTATATACATTTTATATGTTAGGAGTCTTCCCAGCCTTACTCAGTCACAGGAATAAGAATTGTTGAAGTACAGCTAGATATAAAATAGAATTTTAGCACACATATAGTCCAAGTTACTACAAAAAATCTGAAGTGTAACATTTTGTTTCTTGCTTTAACAACAGGAATTCTACCTCCCAGTAGTAACAGGAATACGAGGTTACACTAGTAAAAAGCATCCTTAGCAGATCAGGGAGCATTCATCAACTAAAAATGTGCTAGAATTTTGGATGTGCTCTGAACATGTCCTATTTACAATACTGAGTGCAAGCAAGAGTGTTTTCTTCAGAAATTACTCATAAATACCTGAATAAATGCTTGCATGAAAAATGTGTATTTTTTTCCAAAATAAGCATGTTGGAAAAATGCTTACTCTCATGGTTTAATCAACTGCAGGGGAGTATGTGCTTTTAAAAATATGCACAGAGATGCCAATCCAAAATTAACACTCTTCTGATTCAAACAAGCCAAAAATGAAAACAAGAACCAGATAAAAGACCTTCATACTGATTTTCAGAGAGTTTAGGTGGTCTCATAATGGCTGGTTCTCCCATCCTTATCTTCAAGAGACAAACTTCTTTCTTAAGTGGGGAGTGCAATCCCATTCAAAACAAAAGAAACACCCGACTTCAGATAATCCCTGAGCTGCTGGTATTCCATCTTACTTGGATTATGTTTCATTTTATTCACTTGCACAGAGTCAGAATCACTGATGTCAGTCACTAATTTGGACTCACTAAGACCTCCCTAGGATCTGAGGAAATGAGAGCAGAGCTGGATGCTGTCAGCGCACTAAATAACATGTCAGTTCAAATCTCTGAATGATCTAATCTACTTACTTCATGCAGATGCTGAAAAGCACTGGATGAACGCTGCATTTAAATGTGGACAACAATCTCCAAATAGCTCTAGAATAACACCACAGCCAGGAGTATCAAACTTAGTTTAAAAGTCTAGGGGAATCAATAACCCTAACCCTAACCTTCCATCTCCTCGCACAGATTGGTCACTAGCACTACCAAGGCAGTTTCAGTCTCAAAATCAGATGAGAATTTAGACTGAAAAGCATTTAGACATGTTGACTTGCAAACTCTATTCAAATGGTTTGTACAAAGTCCTAAGATGGTCAAGAGTATCTGTACTGGGCCCCACACTTGAGTTATTTTTTTCAGTGGAAAGATCAAGGATGTTTTGACTATGGCTAGATTATCAAAAAGGCTAACAAGGTCCTGTCTGAGGCCCATCATTTTCAAAAGACGGTGCTGGTGGAGTGTAATTATTTCCCTGAAAAAATGCCAGTTACAGAAGCCGTTCTCAGCTGCCTGGGCTACAGTCCATAATTTTTCTAATATGGCACTGGCTGTGATGATAATACAGGTACAGGAGAAAATAGTGTTACTAAAGTTATGCTTAAAAACCTTACCTCCCAGGCACACTGTTTTTCTGTTCTTCTCCATCTAGGAGAACTACTCTTAAGTCCACTGTCCTGCTAATCAGATTTTCCTTCACATTTAGCACACCCTGATCAGGCTGCATTCCCAGATCTGTGGTTAAATTGTATTCATTACTACTTTTACAAGCTGTGAATGGTTGGTTTGGTGGAGCAGGAGCGCGAGCCTTCATTCTTCGCCTGAATAGAAAAAGACAGTGAAGAGTTGGTTAGCTTGCCATATTTATAACCCTGTAAGGAAATACCATCTGACAGGTATGAAGCAGCTCTTCTTCTTTCTTTACACTAGGCGTCTGAGCTACATAGGCTACTGTTTGATGTCACACTTCAAAGACAGAATGACTTACTTAGCTGTGGCCACTTTAAGCCCAGAAATGTAACAACAAGAAGTCTACACAGAGGACATTTGACATCACTGTTTTCATAGCAACTCCAACACTTTCATCTGACAAAAGTTCAGTATGTCAGAAGCTTCTGATACCAGCTGCATGATGAGACCTACAAGCCTCAAAGAACACATTTCAAACTCTAGCCTTAACAAAATAGATTTTGGGGTGTTTTAATTTTGCTGGAAATTACTACCTAAACCATTTCATGGTTTACTGAAAGGTAGTATATGTAATCAGACAAAACAGTACTAATTAGAGTCTTCCTATGCTCAAACTAAGGTAAACCAAAACCATGTCATCTTCACACAAGCAGTTTATATATTATCTAAAGATATTTGGAAAAAACCCTGAAAAACAACCCTATAATATATGCAAAGAAACAGTTATTAGAGCTCTCCAGGACATTAGGGAGAGCTGTCCCTATGTATCAGTGAAGAATTAAAATAATTTGATCTAGCAGGCACTGCACACTCTATTCCACACTCCCCCGACCCAAAAAAAAAGAGAGGGTGGAAACTGACACTGAGAAGAAAAAAAATCCGCCACAAGCATGGTCAATGGATATGGAATGCCTGTTGAATATGAGAACCAGATTGCTAATGTTTAACTGTTTCTTCAAGCAGTCACACATTATGTGTACTGCACCTAGGTTATCTTTGGAATTTTCTGCAGCAGTGGCGGGAAACCATTTTTCTGTTGAGAGTTGCATTCCTTTGGTGACAGTTTGTCAGCAACCACATGGTAGTGGTAAGCAGAAGCAAAGCAGCTGGAAAAGCAGTAAGGGGAGGAACTCATTTTTCCCTCTTTCATTCCCTTTGATCACTTTCTGTTTCTCTTCCTCCCCACAGAGTTGTCTACTGGGAGAGGAAAAGATAGCTCTTGCAGACATCTTAAGTAATCCCTTGTGATTGGAATATTGATACTCTGCTATGTAGAATAAAACAAAATTTAAAAATTAAGCTAAACCTCTAGTTTTTATTGTTGGGCATTGCGATCACTTGAGCCAGGACTTTGATATTCAGCCCTAATTTTCTATAAAAGTCAAAATCAGATACAGGAGCCAAAATGTTTAATATATTAAGGCAGACTTTCCTCTTCTTGTGCTCTCTGGATGTTTTAGACTACAACCCCCAGCATTCCTGACCAGTGACCACACTGGCCAGGCTGATGGGAGCTGAACTCCAAAGCATCTGGAAGGCACCAATTTGGCAAAGGCTGTATTACTGGCTGTTTTCTTGTATGAGATTGCATTTTTTATTCTTCCTTTCCATAGAGGCAAAGGGTTAATAAAGCTCATGCTGGAAAAAGAAATCACGTATAGTACATTCAGAGTAATGAACAGGAAAAACAGTGCGAAAAGCTCTGCTTCAGCATGTAAGCTCAAAACATATACAACTGTTTGAGTGACTGGGATACTGAAAGTCTGCTGTGATATGACAAATATAACAAATAAACCTTATGTAGAAGTAACACAAATGACAATAACATCTTGAAAGCATTACAAGATGTATTAAGTTTTACTTAAGACATTTAGCATTATTCTTGCAAATTCTTGAGGAGGTGCAGAAGAGGAACATACCAAGGGAAGGGGTTTTCCTATATGCATTCAAGATGCTGCTCCAACAATATTATTATTTTTTGCAAGGACTGCTAAAATTCTTAGTGTAGTGCTATGCTATACACTGACAGGTTTGGACTTGAAAATCCAGTTGATTTTAACCCATTCTGTGGGCTAGATGCATTCTACTGTTAAACAACATCACTAAGAATTCAAGTGATACACAACTAGACCATGTCACTAATGATACTTGAAAACAAGAACAAGACATATTTCTAACACAGAAAACAACTAAGTTTGGCAACAGTTGCAAATCCTTTATATTATAAAGTTTATAATATCTCTCAGTGAACATTGCAGAAAACACAAATCCGAAGCTCAACTTAATTATACCTGCTTAGCCTTACTATACATCACATTTGCAATCAATAGAATACATTCTCAAAGAAAACTGAATTTTACACTGACATGACACAATGCTACTGATATAAACAACTGAAGTTTGAAGTATCAGATAAGCTAAAAGATATTATTCTTTTTTGTACAATATGCTCCACACCTGCTTGCATATATGTTGGCACTTATTTCATTAGGCTACAATATGATCAACACTGGTACTTTTGCAATGTAACTTAATAGCTGATGAAAACAGATTACCTGCTTATGCTATCTTCCTTCTCAGAATAAACTTCTTGTCAAAAAATGACTGGAACGAAGATAAAAGAAAAGCATGGTAACCCAAATCTAAACCAGCATGAATACAATTCCTGAGAACTACAAATACTGAGATTCTGGAATGCAATAAGATCAAGTCAAAGCCCTTTGGACTGACACTTGTTTTAGTTATTTATTAATAAAGATCAGCAGCAATGTGACCTTTGCATATCAATCCCAACTAAGGAGTGCAAAAATGATATCCATCATTCCTTCATTCTAGCCAACTTTCACTGAGCACCATATACATGTGAAGATGAAAATGAAAACAGAAGCAAACCAAAGATTTTCACATTTAGCTAACAGAACTTATGACACAGACAAAAAAACATTTCTAGAGAAGTACCCAAGAAACTGCTGTCTTGTTTCTTTAATTGAATTTGAAGACAAATACATACAATTCTCCCTTCATGGATCACTGCCTTGCTGTGGTGAAGGGGCTTGCGTAGCACAATAAAGCTACGAGCAATGCCGTGCAGGGACACCCAAGACAGTCAGGTCATAGCAGAGAGCTCTGATAAAAGGTGATCCACTGGTGAAGGAAATGACAACTCACTCCAGTAGCCTTGCCATGAAAACCCCTTGGAGAGAAACCTGTATGCAGGTCAAGAAGCAACAGTGGGAACTGGCCATGGAACTACTGATTGGTTCAAAATTGGAAAAGGAGTACATCAAGGCTGTACAGTGGTACCTTGGCTCACGAATCCCTCACTTCATGACCAAATTGGATCGCAAACAGAAATTTTGGAAAAATTTTGCCTCAGGTCGTGAACTCTGCATCGGGTGATGATCGCGGTCATGGCCATCTTCCCTGCACAAACACTCCAAACAATATCCTTCTCCCTACCCACCACAAGGGGGAGCCATGAGGAAATGCTCACCTCCGTCAAGGCCTTCCTGGCTCCTCGCCACCACCCCAAGCTGGAGGAAGGTCCTCTCGCAAGCATTTGCCCAGCTCTGGGAGGGGGAGCTGGAGCGGGAGGTGGGCCCAGGACAGCTCCCCCGGCCGGGAGAGGGCCACAAGGAGGGAGGTAAGGGCTGCTTTCCATGGGCCGAGGCGAGGGACAGGGCGGCCAGCTGAGTGGGGCGCCTCCTGCCTCTCTCTGCAACGTCCACCCCAGGGCTCGGCGAGGCAGCCATGGCTTGGCCTCCAGCCTGGGGATGTGGTTCATACTGTATTTTTGTGGTTTAAAAAATAATAATTACACATTTATTTATTTATTTAAAACTTGTATATGTCGTCCTTTATGTATAACATAAAGTTATGGTAAAGAACAGATTAACAGTATTTAAATTGAACCTTATGGGGAAAGGTTCTACCAGGGTGGGTAGAGACCTGTTCTCCCCTGCAGAAGAAGGCAGGACACGCTCCAATGGAGCAAAGCTCAGGGAGCCAAGATTCCATTTGGATGCCAGGAAGCACTTCCTGACAGTCAGGACCCCGAGGGTGTGGAATGGGCTTCCACAAGAGGTCGTTGAGGCCCCATCGGTGCGGGTGTTCAAGGATAGGCTGGACGTCCACATGGTGGGCATGTCGTGAGCGGAGCCGGCTGGTGCCAGAGGTCAGACTAGATGATCCGGGAGACCCCTTCTGACTCACTCTGTTTCTATGTTTCTAAATTTGACTTGGCTCGCGACCAATTTGGGTTGTTGTGGAATGGATTAAGTTCATGAGCCAAGGTACCACGGTATATTGTTGCCCTGCCTATTTAACTTATATGCAGAGCACATCATGCAAAAGGCTGGGCTAGATGAATCACAAGTTGGAATTAAGATTTCCAGGAGAAATATCAACAACCTCAGATACGCAGATGATAACACTCTAATGGCAGAAAGTGAAGAGGAACTAAAGAGCCTCTTGATGCGGGTGAAAGAGGAGAGTGCAAAAGTTGGCTTGAAACTCATCATTAAGAAAAGTAAGATCATGGCATCCAGTCCTATCACTTCCTGGCAAATACACAGGGAAGAAGTGGAGGTAGTGATAGGTTTTATTTTCCTGGGCTCCAAGATCACCACAGACGGGGACTGCAGCCAAGAAATAAAAGACGCTTGTTCCTGGGGAGGAAAGCTCTGGCAAATCTAGACAGCATACTAAAAAGCAGAGACATCACCCTGCCAACAAAAGTACGTATAGTCAAGGCTATGGTTTTCCCAGTTGCAATGTATGGCTGTGAAAGCTGGACCGTAAAGAAGGCTAAGCGTCAAAGAATTGAGGCCTTTGAATTGTCGTGCTGGAGAAGACTCCTGGGAGTCTCTTGGACTGCAAGGAGATCAAACCAGTCAGTTTTAGAGGAGATCAACCCCAACTGCTCTTTAGAAGGCCAGATATTGAAGATGAAACTTGAATACTTTGGCCACCTAATGAGAAGGAAGAACTCACTGGAGAAGAGTCTAATGCTGGGAACAATTGACGGCAAAAGAAGAAGGGGATGGCAGAGGATGAGGTGGCTAGATGGAATCACTGAAGCAGCTGGTGTGAGCTTAGGTGGACTTCAGGGAATGGTGGAGGACAGGAGAGC